CCTTTTTCTCCCTTTTGTTGCTTTTAATTTATTTTATCCATACAATGATGGCATTGTATGTAATAAGTGTGGGGTAGGGGGTCGAAAAAGTAAAAAGTAAATTGCTAGAAATTCTAGAAAATTTAAAATTTTAAAAAATTTTAGTAATTTTCGTAGGTTTGAAATAATAATCTAATAATTAGATCTAGTAATAATGATAATTTGAACTTTAGTTACTAGTGTTGCATGGGATGATCTGATAAGAGCTCAAATGTTTAGTTGAGCCAATACACGTTATAGTGTATTTGTGGCCTCCTTTATTCTAGTGAAATCATGGGACAAAAACACAACCTCGCTTAGTTTGAGGAATGCAATATGTTTAGCAGCCTGTACCTAAAATGAATCCTGGAAAGCTTATGTAGTCATTGCACATAGACTAATGCCTTAACCAATAAGGGTTGAAGTTAAGCGCCCCTTCTTAAGCATGTAGGTTTTGAGTGAAAAAAAAGAGTGAGTACATGTAAAAAAAAGAGGAATTACCAAAAAGTGAAAAGTTGAAGAATTTTTGGAGCTATCAAAGTATAAAGTATGAAGATCAAAAATTCTGAAGAAATATAAAAGTAGAAGATACCAAGAATTACACAAAAGTTGGTGAATTCAAAGAAATTGAAGATCAAATATCAAAGAAGTGAAGAATTCCAAAGAGCTCCATATTGTGGTATCTTAAAAGTTGTAATTCTCTAGTTTATGTATGCTTGGGTAGCTTTAAAAAAATACCTTGAGGTTAGAAAGTTTTCTGAGGATGGATTCGAAGGGTTGCATAAAATGAGCATTGTTCAAAAGAAGTGGGCGCGTGTTTATGAGGATTGCTAGTATTTAGAATTGAGGGGGGTTACTTAGGAAAATTTTAGACACAAATGCACGCATTGAGGACTCGACATAATGGCTGAGTTTGAATTGGATCGTTCTATGTGATGTTGGTGATAAAGGTTTGAATAAAATAATTAGATTTGCTTGAGGGCAAGCAAAGCACAAGTGTGGGGTATTTTGATATTGCCATATTTATACATATTTTTAGGCAATCTTTATTTATATTTTTATTAATAATTTGGTTAATTGCATGGAATAATGGTACTTATAAGCTTAAATTATATTTTGCAGCCAAATAGAAGCATTTTCGAAGAAAGGGACTAAAATTGACAAAACATGAAACTTTGGAGACTTGGAGTATAAAAGAAGAAGAAACCCACAAATTTAGCTCTAATCACAACGTGATCAATACTCCCACGACGTGGAGTAGAGTATTCTGGAAGTTAAGTACAGAGAGAAGTAAAATCCTTGCCCGATAAGGATTTCTCTCAAACCACGTCGTGAAACATCAAGTCACGACGTGAACGGGGAAAAGTCAGAATATATATAAAATCTTGTCCATTACGACTTGGGAGACTTGTGGCTGGTTGGAAGGTTTTCAGAAGGCGAATTTCAGAAGAAGAGAAGGCTAGGAAATCTGTTTTCAACACCAAAGGAGAAGAAAGTTCATAACTAGTTCAATAGTTTGGTACTTTAATCATGTCCATTATTTTGAATTGTGAGATTTTGTTATTGAGTATGAGTAGCTGAATTTATTAACTTTTGTTTAGCTAAATGAAGCTTCGATTTATGGTTTAGATGATTTATTATGGATTTGATTAGTTGGTATTGAGCTTGTGTTTGATTAATAATACCTAGCATGCTAATATTAGATTCTTTAGTTGCTTGAATTCATGTTCTATGTAGCTTAGTGATTATAAAATTACATGAACTTGAAACCTAGTCATTTAGTGAACATTGAACTGCTAGAGCTAGGATCGACCCAATCTTAGGTAGCAATTAAGGTATTTAAATTTAGATGTGCTAGAGAGCATAATTGTGACCATAATTGTGTTTGAATAATAAATCATACATAGCCTATTCATAATTATAACTAATTTTGTGTTTGATTGTGTGTGAACATGCATAGTTTTACATGAATGAGTTAATTATTGGTAAATTTAGACTTAAATTACTAATATAATATAAATTAGAAAACCAACTTTGATAATCCATAATTGTTAGCTAACCAGAAAGAAGAAGTGGATTCGAACTAAACAGGAGTATTTTAGTAATCGATTGAATTTTGTGAATTAAGTTCATCTGATCTTGCAAAATCAGATAAAACCCCCTTCCTTTGTTAATAATTAGATTAATTTAATAGTAGATAGGTTAATTAGTTAAATACCGTTCCCTGTGATCGACACCCGACTTACTCAAAGCTATACTATAATCTGACTAGGTACACTGCCTATAGGTGCATAGTTAGTATAAGTTTGTTAGGTTATAAATTTAAAAGTTGATAGGTATAATTCGTGCACATCAGAACTTTAGGTTTTAAATGAATTGAAACTCCTAGATCTTTTGAGATTCATTGAACTTTTCAATGGCATGTTTAATCTCGATTATGCCCTTCAAGTTTGTGACTAGGATACCGAGGATCACAACGAAGGTGTGAATAACCATGCAAATGTACTTGGTACCCTCATGTTATCATCACCTAATCATTGTGCCGGTTAGCCACACACGCTCCATTGATTTATGAAAAACATCGAGATACCCTTTGCCACCCTTACCAATTCCAGATTAGTGTGCCGATTAACCACACATGCTCCACTAACGTCTTGGCAAGGTGCGAAGTGTAATTTCATGAACTAGCATACAATTTCACATTTTTCCTAGAGTAACTAAGATTTGGGAATTTTATAAAAGATTTTAGTTACTTTGCATTCAGTATACTTATAATGGAAGGTTGTGTCCTATCCTACCCGTTCGCCTAACGACCCTCCACTAGTCAAGAGTGCGGTGGGTTAGAGTGGATACTCAATGACAGTCATTTTATAGGCTGCTTCCTTAAACACCCCTTATAAATCAGCTTCGTGAATATGGCCTACTAACGGTAAGAATGACTCTTTACTCATACATATATAGTGTTAGACTTTTAATTTTATATATAGTATAAGGGTGTATTTTACACTTTTAAAATACTAGGTGGTTTTATTAATTTTCTCTTTTAATTAAACTTTTAATTAACTTAATAAAACCATAAGGGTGTAATTTGAACTATTTAAAGTACTAGGGTTTTAGATTTTAATATTTAAAAATTAAAACTTTTAATTAAATTTCAAATTCCAAAACTTGAGGGCAAATTTTAAAACGTTTCAAAACTTCTAGATCAAATTTAAAATAATATAAAATAATCATATAATTTTATCTCTATCAAAAGTTTGACCTAATCTATTTTTTCTTACAAGATAATTCAAATCAATTTACAAATAATCAATCTTTATCTTATAAAACCAGTAATTATCTTAAATTGACAATTATCCATTAATTTGATTAAGATATCAATTACCATAATTAAAAAATCTTATTTTTATTTGAAAAAACAATTTATGGTAATTATCCAAATCAAATTAGGGCAAAAATTTCGAAATCATGTTGTCAGACTGGATTCACGAGGTGAACAGTATGTTCACGACGTGAATCTGGTTTAATTCAAAAAAACAAAAATTTTCAGCTATGAACGAAAAAACTTTGCATCAAATACATTAGAATAAACCATCATAGGCTCTAATACCACTGATGGGTTTTATGTTATACATCAATCCTATGGTGCACATGCAAAACCCTAAAACTTTGGATCTAGGTTTATCTAATTGTACATGCAAGTTAGCCAAAGCTCATAAACCCTAGATCTAATATGCTATAATCGAAATTAGGGTTTAGATCTTACCTTGATTGATATGTAGCAATAACAATCTCAATTCTTCCTTAGATTGACTTCTGAAAGCCTAGTGCCTCAAGTGTTGCACCTCTAATGGAGTCATAAACACCACTTAGCAACTAGATGAACAAGAGAGGGGAAGAGAGCTCCAAAAACGTCCAGGAACTTCTAGGAAATCATTAGCCACGTTTTTGGAGCCTTAGGGGTACCTTTTATACTTATGCTATTAGGGTTATTAACTAGGAAACCCTAATCTGACTGCTTAAGCTCTAAGCAGCCCATGGACTCCCTCCTTAGAGGCCTTGGACAAAATCTTATGGGCTTCCCCATAAATTTTGTCCACTCCAACTCCATGGAGTCCACCAGCCCATTTATGCAACTATCAATGATTTGCATAATAGTCCCTAATTATTTAATTCATCTCTTTTGACCACAATAATTAGTTATTGTTTAATTATTTATCAATATTAATTAAACAATATGATTTCTCTTTTAATATATTATTCTCATAATATATTAATAAATCATAATTAATCATCTCTCACCATAATTCATCATACAATTTGCTATGGTGAAGGCAACCCAAAAAGACCATGCTTATAATCGGGTCAAGTACATACCAAAATATTTATGGGCTTAGACACATAATCCAACATCTTCCTCTACCGGTGGTCCCTCCTCCGAATCACCCAAGACTGAAATTTTCGAGGACCGACTCTCGCAGGTACGTGTGCGTTATCGGAGTGGCACAGGGAAGAAACTCGACGCACGGAAGAGCAAGAAGTCCGGTGGGAGTTCAGGATCTAGGGCAAACATGTACCTCCCATCGGTGCCTTTCAAGGAGCCGATTTCAGGTTGAGTGAAAGTGGATTTTGGGTTCAGCCCTTATTCGGAGAGGATGAATGGGTGGGTGGGGCCTGAAAATACCATACGTCGTCGATCATTTATATTCAGGTTTATAAACTCATCATTTTTCAGCTTTCATCATTTTTATATGAATTAATATGAATTTTTCTTATTTATTTCCACTACAAGTGCTCAAGAACTTTGAGTTTGGCCGGAATCCAGAGCTAGCAGCCATGTTTGGAGTGTGGTGATGAAAATATTTTTTATTGCCCACTTTTTGGTATATACTTGATGTTTCTTTTAAGGATGTCTTACACGAAGATCTACAATAAGGAAATCAATGATTTGTTGGCACTAGAACACTGAAAGCTGCAAATCCATGAAAGCATTGAGGTAAAGTTAAATGATTTTTATTGCCCTCTTTTTGGTATATACTTGATGTTTTTCTCTAATCAGGTTTTTCATTTTTGTATGTAGCGATGGCATATTTGTTGCTAGCTTAAAAGAAGAAATTGTTACTAGCCCAAAACAAGTGCTTGAATTTATGGATTTTGGTGAAGGTAATTACTTTCTAGTGGATTTGTTGCTGTTGAGATTCCATTTTACTCATCGTGCAAAGCGTGTTCTTGAACTATCCCTAGAGGAGGCCCGACAACTAGGTAATAAAAAAAAAATATGCATGATGTTGAAATGATAATAATGTTAATTCATCCTCCATGTATTCTTTTAGGTCATAATTATATTGGATCAGAGCACTTACTTCTTGGTTTGCTTCGTGAAGGTGAAGGTGTAGCAGCTCGTGTTCTTGAGAATTTAGGTGCTGACCCAAATAACATTCGCACACAGGCAAGTGTGGTTAGCTTTATTTTTCATGTGCCGAAAATACCCTTGTCTTATGTGCGATGTTTATACTTGTTGAATAGGTTATTAGAATGGTTGGGGAGAGTGCAGAAGCTGTGGGTGCTGGAGTTGGTGGTGGGAGCTCTGGAAACAAGATGCCAACCGTAGAGGAATATGGTACCAATTTGACAAAGCTAGCAGAAGAGGTAACTTGTGTTTAATATGCAAGTGATTTAACTAATCACTGAGTTTGTTTTTTATTTTTATTTTAATTATTTCTTCCATTTTGTAGGGTAAGTTGGATACTGTTGTTGGAAGGAAGCCATAAATTGAAAGAGTTACTCAAATTCTGGGAAGACGTTCAAAAAACAATCCCTGCCTCATTGGAGAACCTGGTGTTGGAAAGACTGCTAATTAAAAGGTTAAATTGTGTTCCTATATTTTTCAGGTGATTACTCTAGACATGGGTCTACTTGTTGCTGGGACAAAGTATGGTGGAGAGTTTGAGGAGAGATTGAAGAAGCTGATGGAAGAAATCAAACAAAGTGATGAAAGTATACTATTTATTGATGAGGTCCATACTTTAATTAGAGCAGGAGCTGCAGAGGGGGCTATTGATGCTGCTAACATCTTGAATCCAGCTCTTGCTAGAGGTGAATTGCAGGCAAGTGAAATCTAATGCAAGGGTTATAGACATTTTTTTTTTTAAATTTATTTCTGATATCTTTATCCCTATTAGACAGATTATTATGAGTATAGGGTTGAATGTGTAAATATATTATGTATATATATTTATCCATCGTGTAATCATATATTCATTCAATAATACAACTTATTGATCACGTTATCTTGGTATCAGAGCGTATTTTCTCAGCTAGGTTACAACCCTAGCTGCCGATTAGTTACAATTCACCAGAACGATCCTCACATCCTCACAGAGCAATCACACATTCTTTTTTTTTTCTCTAAGCGATCATCTTCACAGAGTCTTCACACAAGTTCCATAATCTTCACAGAGTCTTCACAAGTCCAGAACCAATAATCTTCACAGAGACTTCACAAGTCCAGAACGATCTTACAGCACCTCAGCTAGCAGATGGCGATCATCAATCCCTTCTCCACAACCGAGAATACCTCACACAATTCTCATAAGTTTCCTTTTACCCTAACTCCTACTAATTATGGTTTCTGGAAGATTATGATTCAGCCGTTCCTTGTTACCAACAATCTTTTTGGGTATATCGATGATACTATTCCGTGTCCCACTCAAACCCTTCCGGCTGCTGACAAGGCTGCCTCTGCAGATCCTACACCAAACCCATCTTACACGGCATGGCTTGCTAATGATGCTCATGTACGTATGCTTCTATTATCCACAATCTCTGAAGCATCATATCCTCATGCACAAGGAACAACAGCCAAGGACCTTTGGCTCTCTCTACAATGAGCCTATCCTCCTCACTCTTCATCTAGAGAGTATACCCTTAAAACACAGCTTCTCAAAATCGAGATGAAATCTGATGAAGCAGTGTCTACATACCTTCTACGTGCTCAAGAATACTCCGATGCCCTAGCCAACATTGGTGAACCTGTCAAATAGAAAGACCTTGTCATGCTTGTGATCTCTGGTCTTCTCGAGGAATACAATGGGCTAAAGTCTACCCTCATGGCTCGACAAGTCCCCACCTCCTTCCAAGAGCTCCATGGTCTTCTCGCTGATCATGATTTTATGGTGAAGAAAAGTATACCCGCGGTTGCACCCATACAAGCCTTCGCTACCACCTCTTCCATCCGCTCTACTCCTACGACTACACCTCCGGATGCGCTACAAACTCTTCAACAACTTGCCTCTCAGCTGGGTTTTCAACTTAACCCAGCCCCCGCTTCATCGCCTCAAGCCTTTTATACCAACCGTCCTTCGTCTTCTCGAGGTCGCACTTCAAATAACCGCCGTGGCCGAGGCAACTACACTCAACCATCAGGAGGTACCCGCAACAACCAATTTCCTTGGGCATCTTCACAAAACACAGTGTATGGTACCTGCAACCGGTGTGGCATCGAACATATTCCTTCCCAATGCCCTAACCGAGACCCGGCCACTATCCGCTCTCGCCAACAGCCAACAGCCAACTATGCTGTCAATCGCTCTCAGTCTACCACGTGGCTTCCCGAAACTGGTTCCAGCAATCATGTTTCTCATGATGTTTCCTCTCTTGACAGCCACACACCCTACTTTGGTGAGGACTCGCTTCATGTTGGCAATGGTATGGGTCTACCTATTTTACATATTGGTTCTACTCGTTTCTATTCTCCTTCAAAATCTTTTACTTTATCCAATATTCTTCATGTTCCTGAAATCAAAAAGAATCTTCTTTCCGTTCAAAATTTTTGTCTTGACAACGACGTTTTCTTTGAATTTCATTCTTCTTTTTTTGCTGTGAAGGACAATACTACCAAAACTACCCTCCTCACGGGTCCAAGTAACAACGGGCTCTACTCCATCATCCTTCCGTCTCTTCAGAGTCTTCCTAAAGTTGCGTTCACTACCATCAAGGCTTCATCTGGCATTTGGCACCAACAGCTGGGTCACCCTCATTCACAACATTTTAATTTTGTGTGTTCTAAGTATTGTCTCCCTATTTCTAATAAAGTTTCTGATACTTTTTGTAAACCTTGTCATATTGGGAAGTCTTCTAAACTTCACTTAACTTCTTCCAATTTTAATAGCAAACATATTTTGGATCTTCTTGTTTGTGATGTTTGGGGCCCGGCACCTGTGACCTCCTTTGATGGTCACAATTACTTTTTACTGTGTGTTGATGATTTCTCTCGCTTTATGTGGATCTTCCCTCTTAAACGAAAATCTGATGTTTTTGAGGTTTTTAAACAATTTGTCTCTGTTGTTGAACGTCAATTTTCTACCAAACTTAAATCGGTCCAAACTTAATCCATTTTTTACATCACTTGGCATTCTTCATCGTCTTTCTTGTCCTCATACAAGTGAACAAAACAACTTGGTTGAGTGACGTCATCGACATGTCATTGAAACTGGTCTGACTTTACTGGCTCAATTAGGTGTTCCTAACACTTTCTGGCATTTCGCATTCGACACTGCAGTCTATCTTATTAACCGAATGCCATCTCGAAAAACCTCTCACATTTCACCATTTGAGCTTCTATTTAAACGCTCTCCTGATTTTTCCTTTTTAAAGGTTTTTGGGTGTCAATGTTTTCCCCATCTAAGACCCTATAACCAACATAAGATGGATTTTAGATCCATCACGTGTGTCTTTCTTGGGTACAACTCCTCTCACCATGGATACCGGTGTCTTGACTCCACCTCTGACAAGGTTTACATCTCCCGCCATGTTCGCTTTCATGAAACCTATTTTCCCTTCTTGAAACCTAAACCTATACCACATATACCCCCCACATCCGACCCTTACATCTCGATGTATCCTACTCCTACGATACCCGACACATCACCACCAAACAATTCACCACCACCAGCCAATACACCGTCACCTCAACAAACCCCCATCTCACCACCTACCGAGCCCCCTACGGTTCCATTGATGACATCACCTACTACCCCCTTACGTGTGTATTCTCGCCGACGAATACTGGCACTGCTCCGGACCCAACAGCCTCCTCAGTTCCATCTGAGGCTTCCACTGATGCCACTACCGCTCGGGTTCGACCTCCTCAGCTTCGACAGAACCAAAACCTACAACCCGGTTTGATCCCTCGGCTCTTCATACTTTTGCTGCACATGAATCGGAACCACAAACATTCTCGGTTGCTGTCAAACACCCCCATTGGTAACAAGCAATGACTGATGAATATGCAGCTTTGCTAAAAAATGGTACTTGGACTCTTGTACCTCCTGCACCTAATATGAACATTGTTGATTGTAAATGGGTATACAAAATTAAACGGGATCAAACAGGAGCTATTACACGATACAAGGCTCGTCTTGTCGCTAAAGGTTTTCACCAACAACCCGGCATTGACTATCATGACACGTTTAGTCTGGTTGTCAAGTTCACCACTGTTCGAGTTGTTCTTTCTCTTGCTGTGTCCAACAACTGGCCCCTTCGACAGTTGGATGTTAAAAATGCCTTTCTTCACGGTGATCTCAATGAAATGGTATACTTGCGCCAGCCTCCAAGTTTTGTTGACCCACATAAACCTGATCATGTTTGTCTTTTTCATAAGTCTTTATATGGACTAAAACAAGCTCCACGTGCCTGGTTTCACCGTTTGTCTAAGGCTCTCTACAGTCTTGGCTTCAAAGGATCTCGTACTGATCCTTCTCTTTTCATATTGACAGCTCAGGGTACGCAAATTTACATGTTGGTTTATGTTGACGATATCATCATTAAAGGAAACAATCAAGGCGCTGTTGATCAGATTGTTCGCAGCCTGAGTCAGACCTTTGCTCTTCAAGACATGTGAGCTTTATCTTATTTTCTTGGCGTTTCGGTTGCTTATTGTGGAACTGACCTCTTTCTCTCTCAAAATCAGTATGTGTTGGACATTTTACAACTTGCTGGTCTTACCGAGGCTAAGCCAGTTAGCACCCCTCTTCCTACGGGTGCTCCTTTGTTTCTTGGTGACAGTCCTCTTTTTGACAATCATGTTCGGTATCGTCAAGTAGTTGGTGCTTTGCAGTATGTCACTTTATCCAGACCCGACATCTCTTATGCAGTCAACAAAGTCTGTCAGTTCATGCGTTCTCCAACTGTCAACCACTGGTCTGCTGTCAAACGGATTCTTCGGTATCTTCGTGGTACCAGTACCTTTGGTCTCCGTCTTACACCATCTCGTGACACCACCATTCATGCATACGGTGATGCACAATCTATGGTTACCGCCTTTTCTGATGCTGATTGGGCTGGGTGTCCGGATGACCGTCAATCCACCGGGGGGTATGTTATATATCTTGGTTCGAATCTTGTTTCTTGGTCAGCAAGGAAACAGAAGACTGTCTCTCGTTCATCCACTGAGGCTGAGTTCAAAGCCTTAGCTGATACTGTTGCTGAGGTAGCCTGGCTTGAATCTTTATTACGAGAACTGTGCATCCCGGTTACTACAATACCGGTTTTATGGTGTGACAATCTTGGTTCCACTTATCTGTCTGCTAATCCTGTTTTCCATGCTTGCACAAAACATGTTGAGTTTTACTTTCATTTTGTTAGAGAGAAAGTTGCTGCCAAGAGACTCTCCGTTCAGTTTATATCCACGGATGATCAGATTGCTGATATATTTACTAAGCCATTATCTTCACAAAGATTTGAGGGGTTATGGTCCAAGCTTCAAGTCCTTACCCGACCTTAGCTTGCGGGTGAATATTAGACAGATTATTATGAGTATAGGGTTGAATGTGTAAATATATTATGTATATATATTTATCCATCGTGTAATCATATATTCATTCAATAATACAACTTATTGATCATGTTATCTATCCCAAACTTGCAGTGTATTGGCGTTACAACCCTTGATGAATACCGTAAACACATTGAGAAGGACCCTGGATTAGAGAGACGATTCCAGCCTGTAAAGGTGCCTGAGCCAACAGTTGATGAGACAATACATATTTTAAAGGGGCTCCGAGAACAATATGAGATCCACCACAAGCTCCGATACACTGATGAAGCGTTAGTAGCTGCTGCCCACTTGTCATATCAGTACATAAGGTACTCCAATCTATTACATATTGTCATACGTTATAACTTCATTAAAAAGATAATCTCTTATGCTTTTGCTTTCATGTATCAATAGTGACCACTTTCTTCCCGATAAAGTTATCGATTTAATCGATGAAGCCGGTTCTCGTGTCCGACTTCGTCATGATCAAGTACGACTTTTTTCATCTTTGAGCCCATCAATCGATAATCAATTATCTATGTTTTTTTACCAACTTCCTGAAGAAGCCATAGAGTTGGAGAAAGAACTTAGGCAAATAACAAAAGAGAAAAACGAAGTTGTCCGTGGTCAAGACTTTGAAACGACTGGAGAGTTACGGGATCAAGAAATGGACCTAAAGACACAAATATAAGCTCTTGTGGATAAGAACAAAGAGAAGAGCAAGGCGGAGACCGAGGTGGGAGAAGAGGGCCCCACCGTAACCGAAGCAGACATCCGACACATTGTCTCGTCATGGAAAGGGAATCCCGGTCGAGAAAGTCTCGTCATGGCATATTCATGCTGATGAGACTAAAAGCAACCTTCAGTTTGCAAGTCGAGCTTTACGTGTCACTAACTGTGTTCACGTGAATGAGGTTAGTTCTCAAATCTCAACACAAAATCTCATATTACGCTATTCTTCAAGTCCATATGCTCTTGATTTCATTCTATAATTCTTGCTATTTTGGCAATGAAACCTGTTATTAGAAGTGAACGTGAAAGAGGACCACTTGTACCTTTTGAAGAACTAGTAAATGATAACACCTCAAATGCATGCAATCTTGAGGAAAAGGTTTGTGTTTTACTCTTAATATGAGTTTTGATCTCAATGTCTTGTGAACCACTTGTTCATTTTGTAATGGTTGATGAGCCCATTTGGCTCATCAACAACTTACCTCTTCAATGGTAATAGTGGAGAAATTTTGAATACTAACAACATACAATAATACTCTTAACATACGACTCATGTAATGCCATGTAGGATGAAGACTCTGAAGCATTGGCAAAGTTATCAACAGACATCCAAGAAATCACATTTGAGATTCAACAGTCAACAGTCAAAGGCCCTTTCCTCTACAAACCAATTATCTTTTTGATATTCATGCGAATGCAAATCCTGGGGCATATAGTCCTATTGGAATTGGAAGTATCCTAAGGCACACTAACATACATATTCATGCTGGTAAGTTAACTCAATTTGCCTTCACATCAGCTATATATATATATATATATATATATATATATATATATATATATATATACATACATATATTCTCATATGTATTTTTTTAACAGGAATAGGTCCAAGGGAAACTAATGTTGAATCATCAAATCAAGCAAATGTTGATCTTCTGATGTTGTTCTTTTACAAGTGGTTGGAATTGGACCTAAAGTTGGTTGCTGATATAGGAATAGTGGGTGCTCAAAATGCAGGAAAAAGCATGTTTTTAAGTGTTATTAGTGTTGACATGTAGTGTTGTTTGACATGTAATGTTAGGTAACTTGTTTGACATGTTATATTTTTTTGAAATGAATTATCGTTCTTATGTATGGTATTTTATTTTGTATTATGATAATTTCAATCTGTTGTTTAATTTGAAGATTAGTAATTCTATCAAAAATATATTTTTTTTAAAACATTTAAAATTATGACATGCAAATACGTGTCATCTTCATTTATGACATGGGCTTTAATGATACACAATGCGTGTCCTAAACGCGCGTCGTAAGGTTACGACGCGCAAATGTGTGTCTTCTTCCTTTTATGACACGAAAATGCATGTCGTCTTCGTTTATGACAGGGTCTTCCTTGATACGCATTGTGTGTCGTAAATGAGCGTCGTAAATGCGCGTCGTAAATAGACGACGCGCAAAAGCGTGTCGTCTCTCGTTATGGCAGGGCCTTCCTTGACACGCATTTGCGTGTCGTCTGAGCGTTTTACGACCCGCATTGCGCGTCGTAAAAGGCTGTTTTTCTAGTAGTGTACAAAGCAATCTAGACATACCACACACAGGTAGTTATCTAGTACAAGGCAGTCCATACATACCAGATAGTAGGGATGAGCATAAGCGGATACCCGCCTCTTTTGGTCGGAACCGGAACCACTCCCGAAACCGGCGGTTTTGAAATTATTGGAACTACTCCCAGAACCGCCTAGACCGGTTCTTAGAAATTTGGAACTGCTCCCGGAACCGCCAATACCGGTTCCGGTTCCGGTTCCGGGTACCCGGTTTCTTGAATTTTTTAATTTTTTATTTCATACAGCAAGTGGAATTTAGCAAGTAAATATGACAAAATGACAAGTTACAAACTACAAATCGTTCCAATTCCCAACAAAAATAGCACAAAAACAAAAAACAAAAAAGAACATAAAAAAAACAACACAACAACAACTAAACAACACAAAAACAAACAAATAACAGTAAACAGCAAAAACAACAGCTACGTATTCCCTCCAAATGTATCATCGATTTCCGTAATGAAATTAAACATAAAAATTCAAATTAGAATAATAAATATTTTCCAATAACATGATACACAAAATCTAAGTCCATTCCCATATGGTCAAAAATATGAACTGCTAAGGCCTACCAAACTTCTATTTCAAAAAAAAAAAAAAAAAAAAGGCCAGCCAAACTTCATTGCTAGAAAGTAAAAATAAGACAAATAAATGTATAAGATAACTTTTATATCAACACAAAGTGATAAAATAGTTAGTTACCTGTGAAACACAAGAAGCCTGTTTTGAATTTGATGGTGTTACTTTTCTCACAACTCTTCTCACAACTCTTATTATGATCATCATCAACAATATCAGCCTTAGGAGTAACAACCCGAATCAGTTGCCTCCTGTTCTAAACTCATACACCTAAACACAGTTACACATCTTTTAAATTTAGAATTCACAATAACACAATTACACATCTTTTAAGTTGTTACCTTTTTCCCAATGATGCAAATATCAGAGATGCTACAAGAAGTCCAACCATGAAAGCAGAAGAAATTACTCCATCTTTGAAATTGCTTAGGTCAAAATTACCCCTATGAAAAAATTGTAATTTTTGCCTCATTTGACATCATTATCAATCAAAATATCAAATTTTAAAAGAACATGAAAGAAAAGAGTAAAGACTTACTGAATTCCACTTCCATGGGAGCATACACCGGTTTTTGTGCAAACTCTGGGACTTCCATTGATGCTTCTGTTTGTTTATCATGAAAAAAAGTGAAATAAGTTCATTTTGTTTGTTACCAATGAAAGAAGGTTTTAAAGAATGAATGATGTTCTTACTCTGTTGAATTTTTGTTCTTTATTGAGATTGGCTATGCCTCCATAAAAGAGAGATGACCGTAATTTTTGAGATTGCAGGAAAATGGAGTAAATGAGTGAGTCCGATCAAACTTAGAGCAAATGGAGTGAGTCCGATCAAACTCAGAGCAAAAACCCAAGGCTATAGAAAACGTAAACCTATCAATATCAGTTTCAAATAGAGAAGGTATCATACACTAAGCATAAACAACTTACGCCTCCGACATCGTAACATTCCGCTACATAAGCCAACGGAATAGCGGGAAGAAGCACAGAGAACAGCGTGAGCTGGAGATTGAAGGAGGGTTATGAGATACGAACTCGACTTGAGGGATTCCACCGTCTTCTACTCCATCGTATCGAATGAGTCGAGCAAAACTAGCAAATCGAATCTACCAGAAGGAAGAGAAATGGTGAGACTGTGTCTTTCGATTGAGAGAATACAGTGTAGGGTGTCGGCGGTTGTTTGTAACAATGAATCACATAAAGTCACAAACCCTAAAAACGAATACCTTCCGTTATTAGTTCTTTTACCCTAATTTTTAAAAAAACAAAGGCACTAAAATATAAAAATTAAATATATATTTTTTTATAAAAAGGCGGGTACCCGTCGGTACTGGTTCGGGTAACCGCCGGTTCCGGGTACCTGTTATTGGAACCGAAACCGGCGGGTATCCAGCGGGTATCGGTTTTGTAAAATTGAGAATTGGAACTGGAACCGCTTAGGGCGGTTCCACATCTTTAGGAACCGGAACTGGAACCGCCTTAAGCGGTTTCAGTTCCGGAACCGGCAGTTATGAGGCGGTTCCGGTTCCGAAAGCAGGTACCCGCTTCCGCTGCTCATCCCTACCACATACGTAGTCTTCTGATACAAAGCAATCCAGTCATACCATATAAGTAATCATCATGCCACACAGGTAGTCATCTAGTACGAAGCAATCCTGACTGAACAAGTAAATAGAGTTTACATATTAGACTCTACACTCTCTAATACCAAGCCATGAATACTATAATCACACATGTTATAAGAAAAGAACATACACATTTGTATAGTGTAGTAAGAAACTCACGTCGAATATAATATGGATCACAACGAGCAACCACCAAAACTCCAATGGACTTTTCCCTATATAAGTGTTTTAGAGTATTAATAAGAAACCGTAACCTATCATTTAAACTAGTTAGTCCTTAGTTCCAATTCTAGTTTTTAACCCCAAAACAACTGTTTGTTCAAGACCATTTTTTCTCCCCTTAAACCCAGTCAATCAAGAATGTTATTAGATATTCATAAATTTCAGCTCCATACCTATCAATGGATATATTACACTAAGCCTACTTATTTTTCTATGATTTGCTATGAATTTTACAAAATAACATATATGAATGCAACTATATTCAGACCAATAAGTGAAAATGACAATTTTCACCCTATTTAGGTTCATGAACAGGTCAAGGAAAAAATCATGGAACTGCTAGACTAAAAACCTGAACAATGGGAACTGGCTTGCTCAATTCCGATATTCCATGATTTTTCTATAATTTTTGCAAAATAGGGCAGAAACGAGCAAAATATATAATTTCCTAACTTTGTCTTCTTGGTTAATTTGGCTTCTTAACCTATTAATACATCATTAAAAGACTCCCAAAGTTGGAAACCAATGACTTAATAGTGGATACAATGTATTGAGTCCAACTGTCATCTTGAATTTCAAACCACTACCCAAAGTATGTTGTTTAAAAGTGAAATTCAAAGTGCAATGCTAGAATGGTAAAATCATGAGTTTTCTGGGGGTTTATGCTTCTACTAAGGATATAAAGACTCAAAGCTACCAACACGAAGCACCACCCACTGCCAATCTAGCATAGTGTTCAGTGGTTGTCGACGATGGTGGCCATGGTAGCCATGGTGATGATGATTCTCGATGAAAGTTCACAAGAGAAGAAGGAAAATTGAATGAATTTGGATGCTTACTTGAACTAAGATTAACACCACCAAGCAACCTCTCTTCTCCTCACTATCGACCAACCTCCCTTCCCTTCTTGATCTCTATCACGATATCAA